GCTTCTGTCTGGGCCTTAGCATGCCGCCTTTTTGTGGCCATACCCCAAACAGCGGAAACACCTTTGGACATCCGCGCGCTCTCGGACGCGGCAGATAATCCAACCTACTCGCAGCTTCCCCTTTTCAATAAGAGTCCGGCCTGGCAGTTCGTCGATTTCCACCACAGCCATTCTTTGTTCTCGCGAGTTTACAGCGAGGAGAGAGACGCGAAGTTGGCCATTCATCTTGTCTCCTAACTCCCCGCGTATAGCGTTCTCCACTTCTGGGGCCGTGGTTAGGCAGTCCCTGCCCAGAACTTCTAGACGTAAACGTCTAGTGAGAATACGGGCGTCTCCAAGCTGGACAATGGCAGTGCACACATTTTCCTTAAATGCTGAGTGGTCGCCACAGCGCTCCATTTCGATGAGCACGCCGCCTTCGCGGGTTTTCCGAACAGATCGAATTACGGTCTCCGTCTTCTCGGGTTGGAGCTTACCACGTATCGTTCCCAGCACCTCTGCATAGGTTTTGCCTTCAGCTGGCTTAATGATTAATTTGGCGAGACTCTTCTTTTTTCTCACCCTCTTCTTTTTTTTGCGGCTGGTCGCTTCGCCCTTATTGACCAAGGGTTCACCTGGCGCTGGCCCTGGCTTGGGCTTTCCGCTTTTTCCAACCGGGATGGGATGAAACCAACGGGAAATGTTATATCGGTCAAAAACAAGTTATACGTGTCCCGGCGTTTCGCTGGGTCACGTCTAGGAATCGAGATATATATACATATAACTATCATATAAGGGAAATTGTCACCTTTGGCGGTCTTTTTTTGACATAACTCGAGAACCACTAGTCCGATTTTGCTCAAATTAAGTCAAGTAAATTTAAAAAAATTAAAAATTACAATTCCTTTAATCTGTTCATATAGCGTTTTTCTATATAATCAACAGTTTTGCCGGTAAAAATAAATGTATGAAGAAAAAAAAATATTTTTTGCCTAAAATATTAAATTTTTTTAAAATTGTTGATTATATAGAAAAACGTTATATGAACAGATTAAAGGAACTGTAATTTTTAATTTTTTTTAATTTGTTTGAGCAAAATCGGACTAGTGGTTCTCGAGTTATGTCAAAAAAAGACCACCAAAGATGACAATTTCCCCTATATGATAGTTATATATATATCTCGATTCCTAGACGTGACCCAGCGAAACGCCGGGACACGTATAACTTCTTTTTTACCGATATAACTTTCCCCGGTAGTTTGAACCCTTCCCGATCACTGACCATTTGTCTCACAGTGTTATTATTATTCTCAAAAGAGAAGGATTTGGGGCAAAGTCCCTTCATTGGAAGAAGTGAACTGTAATGCTAAATCGATTGTAGAGCACTACTTTAACACCTGAAGTACATTTACAAAAGTGGTTTCTGAAGTACATTTATCGGTTTCTGAAGTACATTTTTCGGTTTTTGAAATACAATTGACTAATCTGAAGTACATTTTATGGTTTCTGACGTACAATTGACTAGTCTGAAATCCATTTAACGGATTCTGAAGTACATATGACTAATCTGAAGTACATTTTTTGGTTTCTGAAGTACAATTGACTTGGGTGAAGTATATTTTACGGTTTCTGAAGTGTAATTGACTAATCTGAAGTCCTATTAACGGTTTCTGAAGTACGTTTGACTAATCTGAAGTACATTTGATGGTTTCTGAAATATATTTGACGCTTTCTGAAGTACTATTAGAAAAGGTGTAGTTGCGTTCCAGATACTTCACGATTTGCAGGTTTTTACAAGAAGCTGTTCCAGGTGGCCACCTTCCATAAAACAGACGAAAGCAGCTTTTCCTGCAAATCCTGTAAAACCTACAAACCGTGAAGCATCCGGAACGCAACTACTATTCATAAAATTCACATGTGTACATACACTTCATGTTCCAACTCCAAGGGATTCGACGAATCTCGCTCCTCCTTGCTTCAGCCAACTCTACTAATCTATTTGCTTCCACAGCATCTTCCTCGTCACTAAACCATATTCCCACTGTATCCATTTTTTTAATTTTATAATAAAAGCAATTATTTTATAGATGATGTAAATGAAACACTAAATAAACAAATGTAAACAAACAAACAGCTGTTTACAATTCAGTCAACCATTCACAATAATACAAATTTTTATCGATCAAGTTACACAATATCAAAATAAAAGATAATCGACTCGATCGACAAATTTCTATTCGGCACTCGCAATAGGGGCCTAAATAAGTTTTAAGTTGCAATAACAGATACTTGATATACACCTTAGGCAAATACTTCAAAGATGTATGATTTTTATAAATTAAAGAAGCAACTTTAAAATAACTCCTCCAAAAGTCCTTCCGAAGTACGTCCTATAAATGCCCTTCTGGAATGCCTTCCATGGGTAGCGAAAGAAGAAGCCCTTCAATTTGTGCCACTCCATACAAAATAGAAAGGAATGCAGAGTGGAAGGCCTCTTGACTCCCGAAGGCCTTTCGGAAAGGCTTTTAACTCCTGAAATTATCTACTGGGGATTTGTCCCGTAACAACGATGGATTTCTCGATTACGCGCAAATGTGCAGAAACTACTCTGAATATGCGCGTAATGGGCGGAATACCTTAAGCTACTGAACTGGTTCTTCAGAAGCTTTAATATTTTAATCGTAATATCGGTTGTTTGTGCTGGACATTGAAAGTGATGGTAATTCAGAAATTTTCAGACCCAACTGCAATATTTGTGGTCCAGACCTACATGCAAACATATATAAAGACTCACAAAAATAAGAATTAACATTCTTACCTATGGAACTTAGAAATGAATGCATCATTTACATAAAACTCATCTGTTGGATCGATATCTTTTGTCTTCGTTTTTGAGTTCCGTACCAGAAGTCGCTGCGCTGGTTTTCCCATAGACAAAGACTGAAGTGCACGCACCAATTCCCGTTCAGGGATATCTGTCTCTTGTTGTATGTCCTCATATGTTAATACATCACGATTATTAAAAAGCATTAAAACACACATCTGAAAATGTTATTATATAAATTGAATTTGTAGCTGTACGTTTTTAATATATAAACCTGATACGTTGAGACTTGCAGAATATGTTTGCGGGTATTTGTTGGCACCGTGCAGCCATTTGAGCTGGACGACATACTTGAACTGGGACCATCTTTATCTTTATCACTGTCTGCTTTACGACCATAAAAAACAGCATTTATGTATGCGGTACCTGATTTGAAAAAAAATATTTTTTTGTTATTAATTACATTAAGAAGGGTATTCAGAATGCATATAGTCTGCTAACTCAATAACGGAATCAATTAAATAATACGCACAAGCATAGTTGCCTGCGAGCAATCCATAATGTGCAATTAGCCAAGAACGAAACAAGCCCGCTGATCCGTAACTACTTTGTTTTTTACTAAGTTTTTTTTTAGTTTAACTTTTCGCCCCTTCTACTCAATCCATCGACATGAGGAAGAATCCATCAGACGAATTTGATTTTCATTAATACGTGGTTTTTTCTTCGGAAAAACTACGTCTAAAATATGTTTTTAATTATTTTTTTTTAACTTGCCATGTTTCGACACTTCAACAGTTTTTTTCTCAAAAACTGGACGCGCTAAAAAAATTTTTTAAATGCACTTCAAATAAGCATGAAAAATCTATAGGCCGGACCAGTTTTTGTGATAAAACACAACCAAATTTTGTTAAGCTGTGTTCTTGGATTTATAATTCTGAAAAAAAGTAATTTTTAGATTTCTTTTTACTTCTTTTAAATTAAAATATTATTATCTTGTTACATTAAACGAGCAATTCTTGTATATGGGCGACTCCACCGTCACGGGTGGGACATTTGAATAGAAAAAATTGGTGTTTCTTGTTTAAATTTAAGTATTAAGTACTGAACAATTCTACATTTTGATAAAGCTACACTAATCCACTATTATATAAGTTATTACAAGATACGAAAAAAAATGCCAGCTTACTTTTATACGGAAAAAATCTGAGTTATTTCTTCTGTCACGGGTGGGACAAAAAAAAAGAACCTGCTTTTGGGAGCAGATATATTTTACGAAAACTCTGCGAATTTATTTCACTTTTCTGTGTGAACTTGTTGTCTTATAATAAAACATAGAACCACGAATGCAAACAAAGCAAAAACTACAACAAAAATTATGGCTTTATTATAAAAAAAATCCGAAATTCCTCTGTCACGGGTGGGACACCACATGAATTTTTATATGAAATGGAGCTTTTAGTGTGGACCATATTAAAGATTAGTTATTAAAAAAAATAAGAAGCCAAGTAGGCACCGTCAGCCAAAAAAAAATATTACAAATCAACGCGCTCTCCTAGCGCCTTTTCACTTTTACTTATTTAAATTTAATACGCTATAAAACTGCATACCTAGAATTTTTCTAAAAATTATGAACGAAAAGTTTAAAATTTTTGGGTGCAACTGTTAAACTTTGTTGAAATTTATAATTTTTGTACGAAGTTTGAAATGTGGATTTATGTGGTTCTGGTTATAAAAAAAAAATCTAAGAACATTAAACAAACAAAAGAAAAAACCAAAACTGGTCAAAATGTCACTTAACTTGATCAGCTCACCACAAGGGTATACAGGTAATGGGCGAGTCCGCGCTTCCGCCCTTCTCCCCTGCGACCACCTCAACAAACAAATAAAGCTTACCAGCCCTGTAAACCTACCTCTGGCAACTGTACCACCCGTAGCTGTCAAGGGTGGAATGTGCTTGACTGTTGAATTATTCTTATCTAACTACGTGGAAACGACAATGCAATTGTGGTAAATATTTGCAATGAATTTCTAACATTATGTAACACGAGCACGAAACACAAGACCAATACTGCTTAATAATAACTTATAATCACCCTCATTGCGACAGTCGTGTCGAATGCAAGTCGTTTTTCGATAGTCGAATCGTATCGAAAATCTCACGCCATTGCCTAAAATTTCCACTCGACTAGTGTATTAAAACGGAAAAATTTGGCAGCACTGTATAGTTTTCGGCGATTTTCGTCGCTTACTTATTTCAGCACGACAGTAGACAATGCCAATGTTGTCGAGTCGTACAATTTAGCCTAATTTACTACTTACGCAATGAGGCTGAATATAGATAAAGCACTCACACAATTTAATATATAATACAATTTTATTAAACATATTTTTCTTACCAAACGCTTGAATTAAGAATCACAGATTATTTGGCAGTACTTTCAACACAACCTACTTTCAACCTATTCAAACAATTTACTTATAACTTGATTTTAAAACGTAAAAAAAGACAATAAAAATGCATTTAAAGCTTAAATTTGTTATTTTTTTGGTTGGTTCAAGATTTGTATTCATTTCTTATCCACACATTTGTTAGTTTTATAAAGAAAAAGCTTTGTGCTCTGAGGTTCAGTTTCACATGGAACCTCCCATATACATATTATATATATCCATAGGGTTCTCGGAAACGGTTCTAACGATTTTGATGAAATTTTGTACACGGATAATGTTTTGGATTTTAAGGTTATCTGAATAGGCATTATCTCCGATAAGACTCTTATAAGGTTGCCACCTATTCGAAATTAGTTACAACTTAATTAAAACATCATAATATGGGCATCAAATGGAAGGTATTTTAAAGATCCCTAACTCAAAAATATTTATAATATGGTTGCCACGTGTTTTGAAAGTTTTACTTATCTTCATTGTGAAGGCTGTTTTAAACACTTTTGTACTGGATTGAGTACAATGAGTAAAACGTACAAATATATCATATTAATACTCTATTTGTGCTCCCTTGATTTTAATAAACTTCAATATGGGCTCTCTCATACTTAGTTACAATAGGTGTATTCTGGAAGTCTTCCACGATGCAGGGATTGCACGAAATGAAAAAAATATTCAGGCCTATCACAGATTCCGAGTGAACTTCCATCGTGAAAAAATCTCCCGTCACGAATTCGGGAGAAATGCTATCAGCAGTTCCGACGCATTCATAGTTAGTGCCGCCTTTGGTTTATTTGTTTATGTTTTGGTTTAATAATTCAGTGATACCATTCTCACGAATTTCGAATTTGCGGGAGAATTTCGTGATCACGACGGAATTGATGATAGGCCTGACTATTCCAAATTTGGAAGAGTACAAGAGCACCCCATTGCAAAGTGGTAGCATGCATAGGCAGGAATTCTGTATCAAATACAATAACAAGGTACAGCAAAAACGAGCGAATGAGCGAGATTAGAGGAATGAAAGAAACATGTAGCAATTCCAACAACAGAACAACTAGCACAGGATCGCATTTATTTTGTTATGCTTTTTTGAAAAATATTCGACCTTTCATATTTTGCAGCGATAGGAAATATTGTTTCCCATATATTTCGTTGTTGTGTGTTTGCAAGTTATGCAATCCGTGTAATACATGCTACGTGCAGCGGCTTTACAAGATTTCGAGAATACCCCTAATGTCTTCAGTAAAGCAGCATCCAGTTTATGCCACTCTGGCAAAATCGATAATTTTAGAAAGTTAACGCTTTCAAAATGACAGTTATCAGCGTAAACTTCTCTTGCAGGTACTCCCCACACATTTGTTAGTTACACCCAGAAAAAGGTTTAATTATAATTACCAAGGTGTGGTTATAGTGACCAAGAAGCATAGTTGGATATGGCGAAATAAGTATCTAGTTCGCAAAAGTCTTCAATTTACTTGAGACCAGTGTTACCAACTTTTGAGTTTCAAAAAGCACCAAAACTTGAAAAAAAGCGTTTTACAACACTAGAAGCCCTACATTTTTTTGAATCAAAGGATACTTTTTCCTAACAGTTTGTATTTAACAAGAGTAAAAAAATAAACAATATTTACAAGTATAAATCAATACAAAAAACTTTTTCGATTTCATAACGATTGAACAGCCTCTACACATGCCATGATTACTCATGCTTACGAAATAATACCGAAGTACTGCACAATAAAACTGGTATACATATCTCGAGAAAGAAAAATCTAATCGTAACTAAAATTAATTTCATAGGGGAAGAGTAATACTAAATGATGCCCTAAGTAGAAAAAATTGTTGTTTTCATAATTTAATCTCAAATATCGCAAAAAACCGTGTTTTGACACTTTTAGGTTAGGATATCTCACGTGCTGGAGCAATTCTGCGGCCACATTTGGATTCAGCACCAAAATATCTACAACATACGATGTGTTTTACTCAGGTGGTAAAAAAGTCAAAAATTTGCCGAACTGTGTAATCAATCAAAATATGTACAAATAACTATAAAAGAAATACTTAATTTATGGTGATTTCGTTTCTTCCAAAAATTGTTGCCCTTCCCGGTACAAAATGTGTTTGATGTTACTCTCAACCCTGTAAGATGGCATGGTTTTGCTTCTTGTCCTTGTCTAGCTCACGCATTTCACAATGTTGTCGTTTTAAACAGCCATCTGATTTTCAGGGCAACCATCGCCCCGGGTAAAGCTTCACAGGTCAGAAAATGTCCGTCTTTTGCCTTACAAGAGTGTGACATTTTAAGAAACGAACACAAATTTTTCAAATTTGTAGATTCTTGTTAATTCAGTGTCGCCACAGCTTTAAATATTTGAAATAATTTTATGTTTTAACTATCTATGAGAAATTTGAGTTCAGAAAAAAGCTCTAAAAAAGGCACTAGGCACTAAAGCATTTTTTTTTTTCGTTTTAATTCTCAAAAAGCACTAAATCTAGTGCTTAAAACACCAAGTTGGGAACTATGCTTGAAACTTCTAGCTGGGACAAATATATATTTGTTTATAATTACAAAGCCACTATCTTGATTGGGCAATATTTTTGATTGAATCAAATCATTGTTGAGCAAATATAAACAGTGCTTTGGTTGATACAAGTCTTCAATTAATTTTGTGAACTTACTGTAGACATGAATCAGCTAATCGTTCATTATTGGACAAAAGTTGCAGTTTGGCACAAATATAAATTTACTCGATGGTTGTTGTGTTTACTTACTTCTTTTATTTGCATATATTATGCATGAAAAATACATACATATTTACAAAAATAGTTACTAGTGTAAATAGTGGCAGTCCCCTGATCAAAGAACAAAGAACCAAATCGATCATGTTGAGATAGATGGAAGATACACTTCGAGCGTTCTTGACGTGCGCTCTATCCGAGGTGCCAACATCGACTCGGATCACTACCTTGTTGCAGCTAAGGTCCGC